CAATTTTTTCGCATATTAATATTTGCCTCTTAGAGACTAAAAGACTTAGAGGCTAAATTCCCCTACTGACTGTAGCCGTAAGGATTTCGGTTGCTGTCTCGTGAGTTTGGATACCTAGTTCAAGCATAATGTATTCGCGCGGGTTTTGAATTTGAACCGCCATTTTTCTTCTCTCCATCCCTATGTAACTTTTCTTATACATGCAGTACGCGCCAGAATTCGTGCAACATGCCGACATATGCGAAAGATTGATACTCTTCCGCTAATCGGCACTGACTCAGGTTGTGATACTGATTATCGTGTGGTCTTTTCTGAAGTTATTTCAGTCATTATAGCATGCGGGCTTTTAAAGAGCTTTCTTCTGGCAACTAACAGAACGTATGTACTGTAAAAAGTAACTACTTAAATAGAATGCGTTTTTATCATTGAGTTTGACTGCCTTTATAAATTCAAATATACTTCATCCAAAAAATGCACGAAAAATACTTCTACTCGTTTGGCTGTAAATTATGCCTTCTTTAAATTTTATACTTAAAGAAAGGGTAGCTTTCGGTTTCAGAATTTTTTTAATCATGAGCTTTTTTACAATTTTGAGGTGTTCATTCATTATACATCGTATCCGTCAATTTATTAATGCTGGCTATAATGTATAAAGACTGCTGCACAACTATCGCAACAGTTTTCTGAGACTATGTGACCTCTTCCTCAAACTCTAGACGAAAACATACTTTTCCTTAAACAGGATGTACACTGTGCGCAGTTAGTAAACCTTGAATTCTTGTGTAACGGTCAGTAGGTTTCAAATTTTTTCGGCAATTTAAAGCTTTTTTAAAACCGAAAGATACCTTTTCTTTAATCATAAAATTTAAAGAGGGCTTAATTTGTTGCCAAACGAGTACAAGATATATTTTTTTCGTGCATGTTTTCCATGAAATATATTTGAATTTGCACAAGCCTGACGACGACCTGGGGATCCAGTGTTGAAAATTTACTGAACAAATTTATTCATTTCCCCAAAGGACGCCTTTCCTTGAAAAAAACATTTCAATTTATATAGGCAGTCAAAATCAATGATAAAAAAGCACACTATTTAAAAAGCTCATTTTTTCAGTACATACCTCTTCTTAGGGGTCAGAAAGAAGCTCGTTAAAAAGCTAGCACCCTCTCATGATTGAAATGACTTCAGAATTGACTACACGATAATCACTATCACGACATGAACCAATGCCGATCAACGAAAGAGTATCAGTCTTTCGAATTCTGGCACGTACTGTACATCGGTTCGCCCATTTCGCCCATTACTAAACGGTTTTATCCCTTACTATTTATTTAAACTATAGCAATGAGGTCATCAGCGTGCGACGCTAGCGCCGATTGGACGGAAGTTCAATTTGGCCTGTATTTCGTGACATGTTCATGGACATGTCTGCACGATGTCACAATTACAGTATTTGACCATTACCAATTGCTTGTAATTCCCCGGTGTTGTGTGGCTTCTGTGTACCTTATTTCATTCATAGTGAATGCAGGATGTTTTTTGCTGAAAATTTTTCGACTGCTATTTTCCAAAGCAAGCATATTCTAATCCCCCTAATGTAGCTGTGCAAGTTTTCAAGGAACGTAATTTTCGTGTAATTTTTAGGCATAGAAACGTATTTGAATTCAGCGCCTTAACTAGAGAGTCTGTAGGAAGCAGAATTCACAGAAGTCGTGTGAGAAACCTTGTCACCAGACCTCACGGTCCAAAACGACAGAGGGATACAAACTTGATAGGGTATTCAGACGCTGTTACTGATTATAGTTAACATTGCAAATTGCTTGTCACAGAAATTCAGAAGAGCAACAGAAAGCCAATGCACGTAAATGCAAGCATATCGAGCATTTAGTGCGGAAAAAACGATGTAAGCATGTAAACGGGCAAAAATTACAGATATTCCCACAATTTGTGCTTGTCAAAATTACAGTACCAAAAAGTCAAGTTTGGACTGTTGGGGTCACGGAACTAGCAGCTTTTAAATCAACACTAGCTTGTCGTTCTTTTTTAACCGATTTTTGTGCTTCCTCCTCCTACAGGGTTACCGCAGAGCCACGGAGGCCGAATTTACTCGATTAACCAGAGAGCGAGAAGCTGCCCAGATGGAACTGCTCGAAGTGGAGGAGCACTACCAGACGCTGCTGGGCAAGCGCAGGGATGCGGCTGCCGAAATGGCTGCACCCATTGACTTGCCCTCAAATAAAACTGACCTAGAACTCTACACCCTGCAGATGCGAGAGGACATGCTCTCATTAAAGTATGGTAGAATATAGTTATATACCATGCCTACTAACAAGCATATAAGTAGACATGTTTATAGTATTATACATTTGTTTCAGTGTGGCCCGGGCAGAGTTGCTGCGCCGATTGAATGAGCAAACCGACTGTCATCGTGTCCAGCTGGCCGAGGAACGCAGACAACGGATCCAGGCGGAGACAGCCCTTCGCCACGTGACCGTCGAAAGCCGCGAGAAGATTGCGCAATTAGAAAGAGCCAATGAAGCGTATACTCAATCAGCGGCCGCTCGAGCAGCTACCGAGAGAGCCGCCGAGCACGCTGCAATGGAGAGCAAGCACGCCAAGGCTAGTTGGTTATTTTTTTCTCATTTCACCACTTAAGTTAAGTAGGGCAGTATGGCTCTTCTTGCGCCGTATGGGTTTTTCTCAGCCCGATTTTTATCTAGTTCGCTGAGTTCTTTTTGTGCGTTCTATGCCGTCTCTGGGTTACTCAGATGCGTCCTATATTGAACTCGGAAAGTAGCTACCTGTCACTTTTGTACTGATCTTTGAAATTACTCAAAAAATACCTGTAGTAAAGTTTTAAGTCCACCTAAAGTAATCTACTTCTGGTTTGTTGGTGTGCTTTCTACATTTATCTCGTAATTGCATCTGATTGGTCTGTGATTTCATTGCTTTATTGACCCAAGGTCGATAGAACTGTAACAGGGCCATGACACTGCCAACCGTCATTTTCAGGCTTCACCCCGACAGCTTCATAACCATCCAGTGTCCATGTCATTCTTCCAGTTTTTTACGGCCGACACACATGCTTTCACAAGGCCTATTTTAATTGTATCGGTTATAGCGGCTGAGCCTACTTTACTTTCTGATCCACTTTCATGCTCGACCCGGCCGTAATTATGAGTTCATCGTCGACTCCCACCTGAACCATTTATCGTAGGGTCGCCAATAGAGGAGAATATACGAGTTCCAGGCAGCAGTTCCGAAGAAGAAGATGCGATCACTGGTATCGGTATCGTAGGGTCCTTGACTCATCCTAGTATGTCACAATGGGCCACAGAGGGTCTACTTTAAACACCTAATGCTGGGAATGGCTTTTAGAGAATACAAGCGTGATCTTTGATCTCCGTGCCCGGCATGGGAACGTCGATTAATTTGACGTACTTATACTTGTTACGGCTGTGATCATGCCTGAGCTAGCCGGCCTCAATGGTGTCACGG